CAGAACCACCAGGAGTGAAATAACCCTCGAGGAAAAGTCTCCACAAGTAAAGGCTGAAGGACATGAGCAGTCATCTCAGCTAAAACTTGAACTGTTGAGTTATAACCTTTGGGTTTCCAAACAGAAGACACATAATCATGAACCTTTAAATGGCACCTTTTTTAACACACTTATTTGAAGGATAAATTAACTCGTGATCCATTTTTCCAGCTCTTCTTACTGGAGGAGAAAGTATTACTGTTTGCAAGTTCAGCAAACCAAGTATATGGATAAGCACTCAATCTTTTGAAACCTACTGATGTATCAGAGGTTTCTGCTACCCCAAACGCTTCTGTACACCTGATCACAGGCTGGGACTGACATTCGCCATGCTGCACAGGCCCTCAGACTCATACAGATCTCTGACAATGCAGGGCTGTTGCATGCAGCCCATACTCAGAGAGGCAACTCCTCTTCATTAAAGCAACTCTGCTCACATCCTGGCAGAGGCTGTCACGAGCTGGACATACTTCACCGTGCGGCAGCTGCAGGATCCTACCTCAGAGCTGTCTAACATGGCCCATTGCATCTGTGTTCAGTAAGACTGAGTGCCCCAAAGCACCCTTAGCTCCATCTCAGCTCAGCATCTGTGCACTGTCCTCTGAAAAAGAGTAATTCAGGGGTTGTTTACTCAGAGCAATTATCACATACACATCAAGAAAACAAATGTGTTTTTTTTTTTTTTTTTTTCATTTTAAGCTCTGCTGCGTGTATCCTGCTGGGAACCCACTGTGATGGAATAAACAACTCTGAGCTTTTGCTGCCTCCAAGTTTCAGGCAGAACATATTCTTCTTTCCAAGCCTGAAAAAGCAGTAGAGGTCCTAAGTTAGCATTGCTTTCTCAATACCCCAATCTGAAGTATTGTTAAATTCCTCATTTCTTGGTTAAAAAATATATATTTTTTTTCAAGAAATTTCATATTAACCTTTTGGCTAAGTTTTCCTACAGATTTTCCTGCAGGATATAGTGACTGCATTTCTCCAGGGGGATGTCTGCTTGCTTTTAGAATACCTTCTTGTGTAATAGTTCTTTACTGACAGGTCTATTAATTTTACACGTTACAAAAGCATGTTTTTAGAAATTCTGTTCTGTAGGACAAATTTGGAAATTAAAGCAAGCACAAAGTGTCTTCACACCTAGATTTCAGTGCGAAAAAAAAGTGAATGTCACACTGCAGATCCTTGCATCATATGACAATTAGCTACTGTCTAATTCCTTCCATCACCATCATCTTTTTTGCCATAGTACATACAACCCACAAGAGCTTTCTCATCTCTGCACCTGCTCAGGCTGGCTATTCTATTACTTCAGCAAAAATAACTTTTTTAACATTGAAAGACTAAATGAGCCAGTACAAAAATCCCATTGCCATGAGCCACAGCATTTGCAGCAAAAAGGGCTGTAGGCTTGCAGGAAGAGTTCCTTGTGTTTTTTGCCCCCAAGAGCTTTACCCTTCAAGCTGCAAATCCCTTGGCTCCTACTCCAGCAAACCACCTAAAACCCTTCACATGGATCACGTGTAGCAAGCAAAAAGGTTTTCCTGGATTCTGGCAAACGATCTTGGCATATTACACAACCAAGCCCCCGGAGCCTAACCGAACACGGAGTGACACCAACAGAAACATTCCTTTCACCCCTGGAGGACAGAAGGGACTACAGTCCATTGTACAAAGATTTCTTTTTCTTTTTTTTTTTCTCTCCCTATTGAAGTGCCTGTTGTGAAGTGCCATGTGGCAAGGGCATCCCGGCCTGTATCAGGAATAGTGTAGCCAGCAGGCCTAGAGAAGTGATTGTCCCACCGTACTCAGCACTGCTGAGGCTGCACCTTGAGTACTGTATTCAGTTTTGGGCATCACAGTATAAGAAGGACATTGAGGTGCGGGAGAGGGTCCAGAGAAGGGCAACAAAGCTGGTGAAGGGTCTTCAGAATAACTCTTATGAGGAGCAGCTGAGGGACTTGGGTTTGTTCGGTCTGTAGAAAAGGAGGCTCAGGGGAGACCTTATTGCACTCTGCAGCTACCTGAAAGAAGTCTGTAGTCAGAGGGGTGTTGGTCTCTTCTCACAAGTTACAACCAATAGGACAAGAGGAAATGGCGTCAAGTTCTGCCGGGGAAGGTTTAGGTTAGACATTAGGAAAAACTTCTACACTGAAAGGGTTATCAAAGACTGGAACAGGCTGCCCGGGGAAGTGGTTGAAGCCATCTAGATATGGTGCTCAGGGCCATGGTTTAGAGGTGGGTCTAGTAGAGTTAGATAACAGTTGGACTTGATGATCTTAAAGGTCTTTTCCAGCTGTAATGATTCTATGATTGACTTTGCAGCTTTATAACAGTCATCGCAACCTCCCTGGCTGCTCTCTCTTCATGAGTACCATCAGCATTGAAAAAAATTTGTGTGACTATGGCTATGGAACTTGTCTGGCAGTTTCCAGCCAGTGGCAGTTTCCTTCACAGTGGGACTGGTATCACAGGAAGGAGACATAGAATTACATGGTTAACTTAGAACAGCCAGGTCCACTACGACGCCCTATCTAAACCCCAAAATGCCTTGCTCTGAAAACAGTGGGAGGAGACACTTATTGCACAGGAACTGGCGTTGCTCCATATTCAGAAAGGCAAACCCCAGAAATTAACACTGGCAATACTCGCACACACATTACAGTTTAAGAGTGTGTTTTGAAGTGCTACTTAATGTTTGGGGCAGATTATCCTACTGGCAGAAATATTATAAAACCTTGAGACTCATTTAGACTATCATGACTAGAAAAAGAAAAAAAGATACTCAACTAGACTATGCTCCTTATGCTTCCTATGGGCCACTGTGAGCTAGTTACCAAGAGAAAAATACAAAAGCCCTGTCCTGCCACCTCAACTCAGATTTATTCCAACCACTTTTTCGTTATTTAGACAAAGGTGGCAGAGGCAACTTTTACAGCCAGAGACAGAGCCAAATCTGAAAACTGTAATTATAAATAAAATATAACATGCAGAGTTTTTGTTTATAGCTCTCAAACTAGTTTACAGAAACAAATATGACAAATGAGACTTTTAGAAAAAGAAACTCAGTTAAGTGACGTGCCCAGAGCTGTGATGCTCACCAGGAGCAGAGAGAAACAGAAATCAAGACTACCTGACTAATTAAAATACTTCTTTCCTCAGTCACTTGCCAGGCTTTCAAAAACACGGTATATAGTTTTTAGGGTTATATGTGAAACTGGATTCTGCTCCTGCACTTCTGGCAAGCTGCCTGCATGACCCTCAGTCCAACAAAACTTGCCTTGATCAGAAGTGACTGCCCATACAGTCCAGTGAGGCAATCTGTATATGCTCATTAATGGCTTTTGTTGTATTCTGTCATTCCCTCTGAAAACATCTTAAACAACTAACTCTGGATGCCAAAGAGATAACAGATAACTAGACAAGAGATAATTTGGGGTCTAAATCAGTTAACTGCAAGAAAAGTGGTTTGCATACTAGATATGCCCTACTAATGAAGTATTTTGCTCTTCATTAACTAAACAATATTGACATTAAATAACGTATAATGCAGGGATCTTCCAAAGTGTACACTTCAGATCAAAGCGCAAGAGTAGCCAGGATGCTTTTGCAAGCTTCTACACCAAAAAGCAACATAGTGCTCAAAGTCCTTGCTTCGTGCTTCACCATTCTGGCTCCCATAAACACAAGCTCCCCTGGAATTCTCCTTTTGGGGTTTTGGGTTCCTTCCCAAGAAAAAAACATCTGGGTAAATGACGTTTTAAAACCATACATTGAGCCTCACATGATTGAATACAGTTTACTTAACTGGCTGAAACCACTGCCAGTTTTTTCATAACACCAGGGAGTTCAACCAGCAAAAGACACAATGTTCTTCAATTAAGGACACAGTCATACCTGTTTCATTTGGAAAGGGGGAAGCAATGAAAAAGGACACGTGTTAGGTGGAAAGTGAAAATATTTTAAAGGGCAAGGGGGGGTGAAGACCAAGAAGACAATTTCCAAGGAAGAACAGCCAGTAGAATGAGAACAGAAATAGAAGCAGAGTGAAAATCCTACTGATTCTGTATGAACCCAGAAAAAAGGAAATTAAACAGAAGGAAATTAAAAAGAATAAGAAAGCAATACAATAAAAAAAAAAAAAGAAGGGGAAACAGAAACAATAGGACTTGTTTAGTTTTGCTTTTCCCAATGATACAGCTACATCCATAGAAACTTCCAGTTCATGTGCACTGCAAAAGTGAGAAAATTTGCTGGTGACAATCTGAGGAAAAATGAGTTGCCTGTCTTTCATCCACATGAGGATATTAGCATAGACTGAAAAAATTCCTAATGCATAGCATGTTCTTCCAGCCATCCATCTCACATACTACTGCACAGCAGAGATAGGTTTGTTGCTTCCAAAGCAGGACTGCACCCATCTGTCAAGCAGCCTGGACAGCATTTCTGGGCTTTGAGACCTGCTGAGCAGAACTTCACCACTTAATTCCTCCTACTACAGCCACAAAGGAGAGCAGCCAGGAGAGACCTTGGCTGTACAGATGCCACAAACAGGCATTGTCTCAGAACTAAATAAAAAGGGACATTGTTCACAAAGTAGTATCTCAGAAAAGTGGATAAAGATTTACAGGGCTGAACCTATGTATATTCATAACTGCCTTTCAGTAACACCACTAGAGTTGATGAACACAGCATACAGGTGTGTATCCTGTAAAAGAATTAAGACTAAAGTGTCCTCTAGATGAGATGGTCTAACATCTGAGTATAAATACAACTGGAATTGCACAGAAATTTTGTGGGTCTTCAGATCTCCTGTAGCAGCCACAACATTGCTTCGAACAGTCATTTCTAGACCATTCTACCCAAATCCTAACTTTATTTCTTTTCATGTTGCTTGCAGAAAGGAAACCTCTAAACCCTACCAGTGTGCCATTAACTGTTGTCCTCTACGAGATCTGAAAAGCATGAAGGCTGTAGCTCTCTTCATTTGTCTTCTAGGATCAGCTGTTGCTATTCCAGTAAGTCCTCATAGAATCATAGAATGGTTTAGGTTGGAAAGGACCTTGAAGATCATCGAGTTCCACCCCCCTGCCATAGACAGGGACACCTCCCACTAGATCAGGTTGCCCAAGGCCACGTCCAGCCTGGCCTTGAACACCTCCAGGGATGGGGCCTCAACAACCTCTCTGGGCAACCTGTTCCAGTGCCTTACAATCTGAAAGTGAAAAATTTATTCCTAATGTTTAATCTAAACCTGCCCTCTTCCAGTTTAAAGCCGTTCCCCCTTGTCCTATCACTATATGCCCTAGTAAAAAGTCCTCCCCCAGCTCTCCTGTAGGCCCCCTTTAGGTACTGGAAGGCCACAATAAGATCTCCCCAGAGCCTTCTCTTCTCCAGGCTGAACAGCCCCAACTCTCTCAGCCTCTCCTCATAGGAGAGGTGCTCCAGTCCTCGGATCATCCTTGTGGATCTCTTCTGGACACGGTCCTGCAGGTCCATGTCCTTCTTATGTTGGGGACTCCAGAGCTGGATGCAGTACTCCAGGTGGGGTCTCACAAGAGTGGAGTAGAGGGGCAGAATCACCTCCTTTGACCTACTGGCCACACTTCTTTTGATGCAGCCCAGGATACGGTTGGCCTTCTGGGCTGCGATCGCACATTGATGACTCATGCTGAGCTTCTGGTCAATCAGCACACCCAGGTCCTTCTCCTCAGGGCTGCTCTCCAGCCATTCCCCACCGAGCCTGTATTGGTGCTTGGGATTGCCCCGACCCACATGCAGGACCTTGCACTTGGCCTTGTTGATCTGCATGAGGTTGGCTTGGGCCCACCTCTCCAGCCTGTCCAGGTCCCTCTGAATGGCATCCCTCCCCTCCAGCATGTCTACCTTGTCAAAGAGCTTGGTATTATCGGCAAACTTGCTGAGGGTGCACTCAACCCCACTGTCCATGTCACCAACAAAGATGTTGAACAGTACAGGTCCCAGTACCGACCCCTGAGGAATGCCACTTGTCACTGATCTCCACATGGACATCAAGCCGTTGACCGCAACTCTTTGAGTGCGACCGCCCAGCAGTTCTTTATCCACCAAGTGGTCTATTTGTCAAATCCATGTCTCTTTAATTTAGAGACCAGGATATTGTACGGGACAGTGTCAAACGCTTTGCACAAGTCCAGGTAGATGACATCAGATGATCTTCCCTTGTCCACTGCTGCTGTAACCCCTTCATAGAAGGCCATCAAATTTGTCAGGCATGACTTGTCCTTATTAATGGGCACTTAATTCCCATTCTGTGAATACTCTATGTTATCCCATTGACCTATACAAGATTTACAAGATTTTTATTTACATGCAGATATTGAATATATTTGTCTATTCTAGACCCATCCCTTAAACTACAAACTCGGAACCCATGGCCAGAAAACTCCAGAGAAGGTACTCTTCTTGTTCTTTAAACATTAAGAAGCAACCTACATTGTTCATCTCAAATATATAAAACACACCAGCACATATCTAGTGACTGGCAAATTGATTTAGGTTAAAAAAAAATAGGCCACCTCACACCAAGAATTAGTACCAAGCATCTCATGCCTCGCATTTTACTTAGCTAGAAACAGAACAGGCCAAAATCTAAAGCTCACAACCAAAGTTTCACTTATTTGAAAAAATTACCTTAAATGAATCCCCACATATGATCATTACACCTGTATTCTTACAGACAATAAACTCCACTGACAGTTGAACTTGTGGTTATTGCTGCTCCAGTAAACAACGAGGATGCAATCCTCAATTTATCACACCAGGGGATCATATGCAGTTTCAAACATGTAAGAATTTTATCCAGCATATGTATTATTATTCACAATACAGAGCATTAGCTACAACTCAGCTTGGAAAAGTACACTGTGGCTGACAAGCCAGATACACAGCCCTGATGGTAATGATACAGATGACTTCAGCAGCCCTATGCCATATATACATGCTAATGACAGATCTCACAATTTTGTATTCATGGTTGACCCAAATCAAAATTCCTTTTGATTGTACTATTCTGGTGAGCATTTGTGGTTCAGACACAATGGACCTTGGCTCCAAACCAATGAATGTAGTAAGAAATGCAAAATCCCAAGTCTTACGCTAACCTTTTTTTAAATTATGAATTATATCACACTCTGTGCAGCTTTCCAGATGCATTTCATGTCAATCTGGATGGTGATCTGCATTATGAAAAGTAACAAACCCAACCTTTTCCTAATGAAATAGCCAGCATAACAAATTATGTTATAAACACTTGCTTGCAGCCTACAGCCCCAGAGACAACTCATAGAAGACACTTGCATCAAAACAAAACATTGCAATACTCGATGAATCATCAGTTCCAAGTGAATATGCAACATCTATCAAAGGCCAGTTGTCCCCTAACAGTAGCTAATTACAGCTACATTGACTGAAATTTGCCACCATATTAAGAGACCCAAGCATCTTCACAAGCAACCGAGTTCTAAAGGTTTATTTTATCCTGGGGACAAAGGTATAACAAAAAGCAGCTGCTAAAAGCCACATCCAGCACATCTCTGCATTGAGGTTGTGGCACATAACGAGGCTACCTGTCATGACACAAGCCCCAACTTTCTCAAACTACTGCTTCAAATACAGGCACCCATAATAGACAATCTTAATGACTGTTTGGCCTTATATTTTCTAACTCTGTAGAACTGGAAACCCTTCACAGAAGACTGCTTTTTGCTTAAACCTGAAGCCATATAATATGTCGTACGCAGCAGTGCACAAAAACACATGCGAAAAAACCCTGTTCCTGAAACTTAATTTTCACATGTTTGAATATCAGTTTAAGATGCTTCGTAACATGTAGATCACTTTTTATAAGGTCTTCAAGAAATGTGTATTTAATCTGGAAAAACTTTTCACTGAATTTCTGTTAGATTTGAGCAAATATACAATCTTTCCCTGGCAAAATTTGAGTTGGAAATGACATAGTGAATATATATTGCCTAGTACTCTTCCTGCATCAGCAAGTACACCAGGCAAAAGACAAACTTGTAAAACATTCAGATACCGCCTTGACATTAGCAAATATAATATAGCTGATTTGCCAAGAGCCAAATTAATATTTCTAAACCTACCATTTTTTTAATATTTGGTTAGTGGAGTGTTTGTTACCAAGCAGTCATGACTCTGCCCACACTAAAGGAAATGCTATTCCAGCAACTTGGGCACTTGAAAGGTCTTATTTTCATAAATGAACCCCCCAAAAGCTTTAAGAAAAATCAGCATTAGGTGCTGTATTGTAGTAAGCAGTTAGCAACACTGAACATCCATAGGTGTTGTTCAGAAATACTTTAGACATTGCTGCTATTGGAAGTGTCTGTACTCAGCCAGCAGCTGCTGTGATGCTAACAGCAGCAAAAAGGCAATTGCTGCAGCAAGAGCTAACAGTCATTTTAGTATCTGCTTTTTCCTTGAGCATTTGAACCTTTTCCACTGAAATTTTGCTATTGGCTTGACAGCATGCAAAAAAAAAAAAGCCACTCAAACACCTATGATTCCTACTAGTGAGCTTATGATGCAGTAGTTTCCACCAAATGCAATAGTTCCTGATTAATTCAGTTAGGAAACAATAATGTATCAGACTTAAAGTAGATTAATATGTTGATTATGAAATAGTTAAGACGCAGTGCGCTCCTCAGGAATTACTACCACAACACCTTGCAAAAGATGCTCTCTCTCCCCCTGCCCCTCTTTTCCCAGGCCTCCCATTTATTTGTGTAGGAAGACGAGTATCACATCCCCCTTCTCTGAGGTAATTGATAATTACTGCAGCCCACAAGTGCCTGAAGTTATGACACTAAATTACTAATTAAGCGTTTAAGATTTCACAAGACACCCATGTGCATCTATCTCCTATGAGATCTTAAACAGAGTTGCATAGACTTCTTAGAAACTCTGGCAATAAAAGAAGGGAGAGATCAACAACTTTGCTGAGAAACGGAGATGACATCAGGTGTGAATTCATGCTCTGGGCGAGCTTCTTTACAAAGAAAAAAAAATAAAGTCAGTGTCATGCCTTGCAATACAAAGCAAAAATAACATTGCATTGACTTCAAATAAATTCTAAGATTTAGTAATCTACTTGTTAATTTTTAACTTCTTCTTGTTGTTGTTGTTGTTTAAGACTGAAGATATCCATCCTGAAGCCCCAAAGGAAAAGAATGCAGGGTATGTAGACAAGGGTGATTTGCTGCCCAGTCACAAAAACCTAAAACCAGAGGTATCAGTACCAGGCACTGAGCATGGGGATGAGCCCCAGATCACTAGAAAACAAGGAAGAACTGGTAGCGAGCACCAAGGGAAAAATAGCCTAAAAAGCATCAATTTCCTTGCGCTGCACAATAAACCAGGTTTGGCTTCTGATAACCAGGATGGTGACTCTGGAAGCAGCAGCAGAGAACAGTCCAGCTCTGAGCATTACCAGTCCAGCAGGCATGAGAAACACAGCAATACAGCCAATCGACATGTTCTGGGCAGCGCAGAAAATCCGGCAGATGCACTCAGTCTTTATCATGAGCATAACACATGGAAATATAATAAAAATACAGTTGGCCTATCTGAAACAAACAGTGAAAGTGAGGAAGAAGAAGGTGTGGAAGAAGAGGATGAGGAATGGGGCGAAGAAACTGATTACAGAGATATGAAGCCCAAAGGCCACCAGTCAAATCAAGGTAACCAATACAGAAGGCAGCAAAATGAAAACAGTATGCAATCTGATGAAATCCTGAGAGATTCTGGTCAACCAATCCGGATAACCAAGAGACATGGTGAGAAATTTGACCTAGAAGAAGAGAGGGAGAAGAGCCAGAAGAAGCCATATAAAGAAGAAATACTCCTTTCTCAAAAAACCCGTAATGAAGATCAGGATGACGAGCAGCAAAGCCAAGAGAGGAAAGACAATATTCAAGTAAACTATCAAAGTGATCACGACGCAGTGGTGAAAACTCAAGGTATGGAGAACAGTAATGTTGATGATGATAGTCACGACAGTGGTGATGTTGATGGTGAGGAAGATCTCAGCAATTCCTGGAAAGAAGCAGCCTATGAGGAAGAGGAGACAATCCAGAGTAATGACCGGGAGAGAACCAGTACTGACCACAAAGGGGAAGGTACCACCGAAGATGACACTGCAGTTCGTAGAGAGACTGAGGATTACCAAGATGTCAAGATTAAAGACCTTATTCACTCTGAAAAAGATGATTACAATCGTCAGCCACCTAATTTTGATGGCGAGCAACAACTGGAAACAAGTAGCTCTGTTCAGAGCATGAATTCAATGGGAAGTGAAGATAAGGTAAATTCTCTTTAAATTAAAGTGGGAATACTAGGTGCTCAGGCCTTACTGAGCTCCTGTTTCTCTGTCTCCATCTCCTTCTCCCCCCTCCCCCCAAATAACAGAACGCTTTAATACTACCAGAGGCTTTATGCGCTTCTCACGCATTTTGCATAGCAACATCTTTTCTGCTGCAAGCACAGCAAACTGTGCCTCAGTCAGCTCTGTATTTGTACCTGAAAAAAATTTTGTGCAAGTATTTTTTTCTTCCCAAGATTCACCACAACTTCTGCTTATGTCTCTGTGACTGTGCAGGTTAAGACTACAGGCAGTGCCTATGGTGAGATGGAAAATGCAAGCAACAGGAGTGAGAAGGCTCTCCTGGGTAAGCCACAAGCAAAGCCATCGTATAACTGCTAACTCTCTGCCGCTGGGGAATCTGCTGGTCTGCATTTTTTTCCTGCCTTTGGCAACACATAGTTTCACATGACTGAACTGTGCTTGCACATAATCCTGCATTGCAGTTATGTTTCCAGAGAATCCCTTCCATACACCCTTTCTCACTCATTTGTTTGTGAAAAACGTTTGCAGAGAGTGCACAAATTTTTGTGTCAGTTATAGAGGAATGGAATTACCTTTCATTGAAACCATTCAGCTTCAGAACAGTAGCTTGAATTCAACTAGGAATGGGACAAGGGCCAGTGCTGGGCTCAGCAAGGACAGATGGAATATGTTTCACCAAAGGAAGCTGGAAGTAAATGTCAGTCCTTACAGAAGTAGCTTTTTCCAAGAAATTTATTTCCCCATCCAATTCAAACCTGGAACTGCTAGAATTCTCTCACAAATCCTCATTTAAAGTTTGGCTTGCTTTATTCAATACAAGATCCAGCTGCATTTTAACAAACTTACAAAAAGCACTTGAGTTCTAGGTGACTATTAGGCCGTATTTTGCTTTGACTGTCAGTAGTACCTGACAAATGCTTGGCTTCGTCCCATCCCCTCTAACAGTCCCTCTTTCTTGCTATGACCGCTAGACCCATGTAGGAACTTCCACTGCAAAAGAGGTAAAGTCTGTCACATGGACAAACAAGGGAAACCCAGATGTATTTGCCAAGATCCTGCTGCTTGCCCTTCCACCAAAGACTATGAGCATGTAAGTATTTCATTCAGTGCATGGCATGGGGGAAAGCCAACTGAAATGTTTACAATATAACACATTCCCCTGCTATTATTTAAAATAATTCTACCCTAAAAAGCATGCAAGCGGGTTTGGGTGATTCCAGTAATTTTAACAGTAAGTATAAGGTACCCAAACTCACTGACTATAGCTTGAGAATAGTATGAACACATATTGCTATGTATTACCTAAAGTGATTTGCTTCACTTCAATATTACCTATTATATTACACATATTGGTACGTATTACCTAAAGTGATTTGCTTCACTTAGTCTCTCAGGATCATAGCTTTTTCTTGTCACTAAAAGTTCTATTTATCCATTGGATGTTTTAGAGCATATACTGAATACGAGTACATGTCTAGCATAATAATCCTTTACCTTCTCATAAACTATATTACTACCACACAAAAATAAATTCAAGGGTCTCAAAACTGGGTGTGTTAAGTACAGACAACTAATCCTTATGTAGGCATATAACAACTACAATTTTCAATACTTCTGATAACATGTATTCCCTTGTCGGTATTCACAACTGCTACACCGTATGCTAATGATACTTTATTATTGTAATGCCTATATGAGTGACCAGAATTTTTCTCACCACAGTGGTGGGGGTGGGTTTGTTTTTCACTCCTCCTCTAGGTTTGTGGTACAGATAATAAGACTTATGATGGCACATGTCAACTCTTTGGCACCAAATGTCAACTTGAAGGGACAAAAATGGGACGCCAGCTGCACCTAGACTATATGGGCTCCTGCAAATGTAAGGCTTGTTTTTCTATGAAGAATTCACCTAGGTATAAAGAGCCACTGGCCTTAACTACCAGCTAGCCCTAAGTTATCTATCTACTTCCTGTGCTCTCCCCCTCTGCTAATTAAGGCCTTCAAACCCTAAACATGTCTAAAAGTTGCTTTTTCTATAATTAAGGGTATTAAGCATCTGAATCCTAAAGACATTCCTCCTGTGCTTACACCAATTTGTTGTCAACCCTGTCTTCCCCCTGCTCTGTCTTACATGTTCCCATTGCTATAGCATCTGAAGATGTTTTTTTAATACCTTGACCAGAAAACCAGTATTTATAGCCAGTTAATAAATGAAAATGTCAAACACCCCCCACCCCCCCATCCCCAATCTCCAAAAACTACTTAGATGCCAAATGCAGAAGTCAGGATCTAAAAGCTAGAACTGATTTCCAAGCTCTTCAATTGCTGCATACCCCGACAGGAAAGCACACACTCAGTCAGAACATGCCTTTGCTGTTGAGAACTCTGCTTTCATGCAACTGACTGATAACAGTTTCACTGCACAACTCTGCTCAGAAGCTGCACAGATATATAAAGCTTGTGGCTTGCACAACTATTTAAGCAAGTGCACCAAAGAATTGTAGATTTATAATTGAACCCATTAGTTGCATTCCCAATTTTAGGTATTAACAGCTCCAACAATTTTAAGCTTAATTGGAAGTTTGTTAGTGAGAATCAAATCTAAGTTGGCTCAGAAATTCTTGAATGGGGACTTAATAGACCACTTGTTAACAAAAGCTTTCCTATTTGGCACAGACATCCCTCACTGTACTGATTATGAAGTGGATCAGTTCCCCCTCCGGATGCGAGACTGGCTTAAAAATATCCTTATGCAATATTATGAACGTGATCTGGATACTTCTGGATTTCTAACTGAAAAGCAAAGGAGTAAGGTCAGCAATCCTTTTCAAGTAAGACCATGCAGTTACATTGTTAAAGCCGGACGAGCCATGTGAAAAAGTGATTCACATCTTATGAGTTCTCCCATTTCCTATGAGCATTCCCTTTCTGGTTAAGGCAATTTAGATTCAACTAGATTCACAAGTTGCAACAGACACTTACATGTCCCCTCGCACTCATTTAAGCTGAGACACATTTCTGCTATGAATGTTGCTGCTGTCCAAGCAAATGCAAGCCAAGGGTATTACTTTTAAGTCAGTGTCTACAGACAAGAGGCAGAAAAGTCAGAATTAGTGCACACCTAGATAAACATTGTTCCCTTGAGAAGACATGAAACAACTTCTGTGCTTTGTGACAAACCTCTTGGAAAGATCAACTAATACGTAGATATGGATGATTCAATTCATGCAGTCAATGCCGTTTTCCAAAGGACTTGAGGAAACTAAGCAGCCATAAGATGGAAGGTCTAGGTACGGATAACTAGTAAAAAGAGAGTAAGAGGGAAGAGTCAGCCAAGAGCTCACGTGTGGAGTCCTACAAGTTGAAAGGCCCTGTGCCATTCAGCTTTTGTTAAGTGACCTGGAAGAGGAAAGTAGGTGACAAAGTCTGCTGACAACGCACAGGTATGCGAAGGAAGGAAGGACAGACTTGGACTCACCACGAAGAAAACTGCTCAGGACCTCATGAGACTGAGCGACTGGGCAGTCACACAGTCACACAGGATCCGAGACAGAATTACTATGTAGAGTTTAGGGGACCCTCACGGGGGCAGGAGATGACTGCCTTGGACCAACCAAAAGTAGCTCCTCTTCTGTTCTTGAGACACACCTTGTACTTGACGATCAATACAAGAGTACCTGAAAATGGACTAACCAGTAATGGGTATTGTTTGCACTTTTTAATCCAGCCCCATGCACTGTCCATCTACACTGTGATATTCAAAGGCTATAAAATTACACAAGTTTGATGCTCAGCTTTAATAGACAAGATCTGCTTTCTACCATCCAGTAGACCTGCAGCATCACACTATGTTGGCTTTAAATGGAGTAAGCATCTATTACCATTGGGCTTTTTTTTTTTGAGAAGGATTTATGCCAAATGAATTGGTGACAGTAGTTTGGTTTTGAAGATATAGATGCCGTAACTGCCTGTCATGGTTTAGCTCCAGCTAGCAATAAAAAACTACATGGTCTTTTCACCCACCCCCCTACACCCCCAGCTGTAACAAGAAGAGAATTGGAAGAAAAAGGCAAAACTCATGGGTTCAGATAAAGGCAGTTTAACAGAACAGCACAGAAAAGAGGAAAACAACAACAGTAACACTGTTAGAGGAATGCACAAAACACAATTAATGTACCACCTCACACCTACTGAACCCAGGAAGTCCCCAGCCTGCTCCCAAGCAGCGATTCCTGCCCCCCCACCCCAGCCAGCTCCCCTGACTCTATACTGGGCATGGTTCACATGGTATGGAATACCCATTTGGCTAGTTTGGGTCAGCTGACCTTCCCCATCCCCCGCTCTAAAAAGCCATAACTGTAAGAAACTAGTTAAAGTTAAACCAAGTCTTGGGCTGCTCTAACTCTGAAGTAGGAGTTGCATGCAGTAGGTCACAGCAGGTTTATACAAAATATGCTTGAGCAACACCAAAGACTACTCACACAGTTACCAAGTGGGACATTGACCTACCCAGAACATCTAAAACTAAATGGTATGAATTAGCTGATTTCTGAGATGGATTATTTCACACCAAAAGCTGAGTTGCTTGCCTCAGGACAGAAGGTCAACAAATGTGATAAAACTGGTTTCATCTCCTACCAACCTGAGACTACTGCCTGCTTAGCTGAGTCTGATGATTAGGCCACAGGAATTTCACTTCCTTTCTAGTTACTACCAAAGTTGACACAGACAGCAACAAAAATCATCTGGACTACTTGAAGCAAGCTTTTCATACCGTGTATGGTCACAAACACTAAACCGCATTTCCCCAGTGGTATTTTATCAAGTTTCATTTCTCCAAACCACCTCCTTGCTGGATAGTTCTCTTCTGGACAGATCTTCATCCCTAAACAAACAAACAAAAAAAAATCAATTTCTCTGTTGTGTTCAGGTCAAGAAAATCTACCAGAATGACAAGCGCCTTGTGGCTGGTGACCATGCAGTTGAGCTGCTCCTGCATGACTTTGAGAAAAATTATCACATGTATGTGTATCCTGTGCACTGGCAGTTTCATCAGCTTGATCAGCACCCTGTTGACAGGTAAAAAAAAAAAAAACAAAAAACCACGTTTGTGGGTTCAGTTCCAATTTGCTGTTTAAGCTCAGGTTGTTTTGCTTTTCTAAACCAGTCGAAGGATTCTCTACTTACAGGACCAGTCCCTCAGCTGACAGAAGGCAGTATCTTCCTCTTTCTAAGGAAGTATTAATCTCTAACACAGAACTTCTCTCATTGTTTTGCTGGAGCCATGTCTTCGGTCAGAACTTGCTAGTCTCTTGCCTTAGATAATCACCATGTATTACACATTATGCTCTACGGTGTCTTAATAGCTACTAATGCCCTGATCCTGGAAGAAAACAAGGCTCATAAGAACCTGTTATTACTGAAGCTAAGAGCAATAGGCCAAGTACAAAGGGCAGAGGCCTGTAAGCAATAATTCGCTAGTGAGATACCCATAGTTTTCAATTAATACTACAGAATTCTCTCAGTTTAAGGACCAGATATGTTAAGACAGCACCTGTGTCACAGAGGAAGCCGCTCACATCTGAGAACATGACTAAAAGTTCAGGCTTTTGGTCATGACACTGGGTGGTGGGATCCATGTTTCAAGGCCGCAGGCCCTCAATGCCTCATGCTGATCACGCGTATTGTCTTAGAACATAGACAAGCACCTTTGCAAGCTTGATCTCCTGAAGATCAATGGGAAAATTCCACAACTGACGAGTTGTGAAAAAGTCACAGTAATACTTGTTCTAGAAAAAAAAATGTTAGCAAACAAATAGCAGTAAAAACATTTTTTACACATCATCATAATGACCTGGGACAGATTCACTACAGAAGCACCACAACAGAATCCACTAGGGCATCTCCGTCAAAGCCACTGTTGTCATCTTCTAGCAGCTTTTATCATCTTTGATGATCCTGATAATTTATTAATGAACTACAGCTCTACATACCTGCTCTTTCTTTCAGATTATTAACACACTCAGAAATCGCGCCTTTGAGAGCTTCCCTTGTTCCCATGGAACACTGCATAACCCGTTTCTTCCAAGAGTGCGATGGAGACCAAGATAAACTCATTGCTTTTAAGGAATGGTGCCACTGCTTTGGGATTAAGGAAGGTAAACATAAAAGAACAGGGCAAAATATTCCTATCAAGACTAGGCACATTCTCAGACCACAATGTACAGGAAAGAAATTGTAGCCAGCAGCTCATGGCTACTGTGCATGGAGGCAAATGGAATAGTAATGACAAGACCGCAAAAGGTGCAAGGTTCAGAATTGTTTTATAGAGATAGGAAAAAGTAATCTTTTCCATGAGGAAAAAATTAGGAGGTAGTTTGTACTAAATATCTAATCATTCCTATGTGGTGTCTGAACCTATATGTTCTGCATCTCCGTCTCTCAAGAAACACTCTATTTTATTCTGTGCCAAAGGAAAGGCAAAGAGAGCTTGTACTTTTAAATCAGCGGTCAAAGTATATTGATTGAAAATACATTTAAAGATCTCAAGCCAAGTAGGAAAAACAACTGAGATCTCTCACTGATCAAATAACTATGCTGACCTCTAGATTATTACATACATGCTGTATTCATGCTGTAGCTGTAGGCCAAACAGTCTATTTTACCTAATCTGTCAGATGAAACACAGGCTCAGATAGTGCCCACCAGACTGCATGCATCAGGAGGCTTAGGCAGAGGCAGAGACAGTTTCTGACTCCTAAATGGGCTAGGTATATGTTTTGTTCAGCTCAATCCACATCAAGACTTCTCTAGGACAGTGAAAAGCTAGGTACTACTGTGCTGGTGATGTCTCGAGAATTAGGCAGCTGCTGAAAAGAAGCCATCATGATAGCAATTTGAGATTTACATGACTACATTAAACCTAAGGCATTCTTTTGCAATCTACCTTCTTCTGATCTAGCCCCGAGTGACAGCTGAACAATACTGCCAGTCATTAAGCAATGGTAGCAGTTGCACAGATTAATGCTGAAACAGTTAAGTGACAGGAGGAATTTGGCTAAACAAATGGACTGAAGAAGCATGTTCAAAATCCTACTAGCAACTCCCTAATTTTAAGTGGGTGCTGATTCTGGTCAGAGGTCAGACATGCAGACCCTTTACTCTTCCCAGAATTTTTCCGGCTGTTCTGATGACCATTTACCAGTCACAAACCACACATGGAAGTAAGCTTTGAGGAGTTGTACTGCTGCTAATGATTGTTCATCCAAAGAGGGGTTGAAGGGTCAGTTATTTGTGAAGAGGGGGCTGTAAGGGATTCTTGGCTCACAAACAGATCAAGAAGACCTAACACTGGAAACAAGAAAGCACCTATATCAGGAAGAGTCTAAATGAATGGCTCCTGAATATGATAGCAGCAACCATGCTTGGTTTCTTGTAGGGATACGTGAGCCCTCTGAAAATTTAGTGTATCACTTTCTTGATAGTGATACAGCATAAAAATGTCTCTTTGTCATCAAATGTTAATAATATGTTCTTCTTTTTTGCAGAAGACATAAATGAAAATCTCCTGTTCTGAGCCTGGCTGAACAGAGTCCCAGTGCTGCACTAAAACTGGTGAAATATGTGAATCCTGTTTATTTCTGTAATTAACAGTTTCATAGTTCTCAAGACAAAGGTGGCATAAGGTTCACTGCATTCTTATCAAATAACACAAGTGCAAAAAAGTTCTACATTTATTAACAGCAGAAAAATGTAACTATTCTAAGTGGTTCAGAGCTAAATAACCAGTGTTTTCCCCCACATGTATCCATGATCTCTCTGAACCAATAAATAGTACTAACCTGATGACTGTTGTTCACAAAACACTTCGGTAGAATTATAGGATGTGGATTTTACCATACACTGAAGAAAATTACCTTGAAATAGGACTCGTTTCCTTTATTTACTGTATTGTCAGTTTAACATTCTGCATAGAAGCCTCAAATAAAATAAAAATCTGCCTAGATATATGGGTTTTGTGAGAACTTTGTCAAAGACAAGGTATCAAGGCAATGGTTCAATGAAAATTTCATTTCAGATTTAAGGGAGGAGAAGAAACTAGAGTGTAGATCATATATAGCAGTCCTTAAACCACAATTCAAAATACATGAAAAAAATTAGCTCTTTTCTGATACTTCTTCCCTTACCTCTTGAAACACAACAGAAATAGTACCAATGCCACACA